ATTTGACAGAGTATACGAGGGTAGATCAAAAAGTAAACGATATATCTTAGGTATTTGAGAGTTATATTATTGTTGAAATATTCAAGTATTTTTCAAAGTGTAAATTGGAGGTCTTTGATAGCATATTGCTTAATTAAAAACACACCCCTTTTCAAACTTGCAAATATATCACTGGGCAATATAACAAGTATCATATTTAACCATCTGCCTTCCTTCACTAAAACGATCTATCCAATCATTGATTGAATTTGTAGGAAGTCATTTGTCTTAATAAACTATGAACAAATTCTTATATGCTACTTCAAAGGCATTTTTAAGATATACCATAAATATTTTAGTCGTTTGTTAAACGAGTTCCACTGAGGCAACCATTTTTCGTCACAAGTACCTGCATAATGACGTCATTATGAGCAAAACTTTATTCAGCATATGCTATTTTATAGAACTTGTGTTTGGCTATGTGTGCACCAAATTTGTTTCTAATCTGAATTGTGGTTTTGTAGATATAGAGATAGTTCGCGAACTTTTTGATCACCCCTCGTACAAGTAGGTACTAAATCAAGGTCATTCATATCGATTTTATGTGTTTAATTTCTTTGTGTTTCATTGGTGATAATTAAAATTTTGATATATATTATATGTTATCTGTGGCAAACTTACAAACTCTTAATTCTTAACTTTGATGGTGCTCATTTTCCTTACCTGGAATCAAAGAGTTTAAGATTTTTTTCTTTGATATCAATAAGTACATTATTTAACAACTGTTCGATAATAATACTAAATAAATTACTTCAAGCCATACTATTACACATTTTTTCTTTTAAAAGTGTTCATACTATTTGAAATATTTTGCAACTGTAATTCTCTTCTACATTTAAAGATTGTTATGTCCCTCCATATTAAGAATGGGTCTCGAAAACAAAATTCTGTGCTAAAAATAGACCACGTGCTGCTATGCATGAACTACTTTCGTGGTTCTTTAAACTCTTTTTGAAGACAACGATACCTTGTTTTGAACTTGAAATTATCATTTAAAAGTGCAAAATTTAGACATTTTCTCAACAAATCGTTGTAGAGAGAACATTGATGCACATTTTGCATATTTTTTTGGATTTTTTAAGGCTCTGCCGAATTCTGTAGCTGCGCAGTTCTAAGGAGCATATCAAAAGCATTTTTCTGCAAAAGTATAGATTATATATGCACAACATGCATTCAGTTATGCATATTTATTGTATCTTTATCATAAGGACTTAAAATTTCATCAAAATATGATGTATTTTAGCCATTTGAAGAAATGTTTACATTTTGTTCTCACAGCACTAAAGGTGGCCGTACATCCCCCTTAAACATATGAAAATAGTAAATTCAATAAACTTCAAGTAACATTTCTTAGTTGTTTCCATTATAAGAAAATTGCAACAGTAATTTTTCTTCATATTTTTTTGTATATTTTGCTGACTTTTTTTTATAATATATACTGAAAGGAAAAAGAAACGCAGGGTAGCATAATAATCGATAAAAATTTGATCATATGACCGAAAATTGCGAAAATTGGTCAGATGGGAAATTTAGTTACTGTGCATCAAAATCAGTATTCAGAATTACTCAACCGTAAAATTTATGACGTCACGTAGGGAAAACGCTAAAAAGCCTAAAACACGTGCAATTTGATAACGACGTGTTTGTCCACAAATCTTGTTGCATTATTTGATGCATATGAGGTATGCACATCGTATTTCAATATTAAGAGACATTATGAATTTATTGCAATCTTGGAACAGTTTACAGAAGTTCAATGGGGTCTTGTTTTCGAATTGCCTAATTAATGAAAAAAGCAACAACGGTTAACTAAGCAGTCACTTGTAATTTTTCCCCCATAAAACTTTTTAGCCGTTGTCAGAGAGGGTCTGGAGTGGATTTCAATCAACCGTGACGATGACGTTAACGCGAAACAGAGCCATGTTACGAGCGGGTTATTCGTCCTGCCATCTCTTAAAGTGTCACCTTACTACCACAAAAAGAGCCATTTATAGTGTACGCAATTAAAATTATTACATTTATACGAAATTTGAAAGAAAACAATTTCGCAATTTGTTTTTTTGAGCCAGTTAATTTACAGTTGTATTCCTCTCACTGGCGCATGCGCTCGAAGCTTGACTTATTTTTTTGCGTGGTTACCCATGCTAAATATAGCCAGGGTTTGAAAGATAAACACTCTGATGAAATTCCATGCAAAGGAGATATAAAACTCTAACAGATGCACGAGATGGACATTGAAGATAAAGAGAGTTTTCGATTTTCCCTTTTGGGGGGTATCGTCATTTGAGTTTCAATTAACTCATGAATAATTACACAAAATCCTATGAGAATTTGGTTATATCTTTTTGAAAGATGATTTTAAAAGTTAGATAGGAAAACTAAAAAGTATTTTTAAGAAAAACAAATTAAATTCACCTCAAAAAATTACCCTGCGTTTCTTTTTCCTTTCAGTATACATGTATTGGTGTAAAATCTTCTGTACCTCTGTCTTTCTCTTCCTCGGAGCTGGACGGCAGATAAACCCGGAAACCACCTCATTGACATCATCCGTCTTCTTCCTTTGTGACAAGTTATTCATGGTCACTTTGATTCGGTCCTGGTCTGTTTCATCCCAGGTTAAATTCACCTATATTATATTACAAATTTATCACACTGATTAAAGAAATCTAGGCATATGAACTAAGATGATTTCATACCGATACTGTTTTAAATATTAATCTGATACATTGAAGTCTGACCTTTGACGTGTCACATTAAAGTGTGACCTTTTACCTGACACATTATATTAGGATCTGACCTTTGACTGGGCCAGGGCAGTTGAGACAAACAATGAGGGATTGTAGGCAGCAGACATCTCTGTACACACGGACTTAGATTCCTCTGTAAACTCCATGTCGTCTGGTATAAACCTGTCAAATGTATATACATCATATAATATGCATGAAGTCGTGGAGAAACATTTTAAAATCATTTCCCTGAAGATGCATTTTGTGAAAGAGGACTTAGGCTTATTTTTGTAATCCTTGTATAAATCCTTGGATTCATCTGATAGGATACGATTTTATGTTCTCAGTATAATGTATGCCGATCCCAGTCTTTGCGAATCATTTTACTTTTTTTAACTATTTAAAAAAAAACAATTTATATCGTATAATTTGTTTAAATTGTATATTTATGTAAGTTGAAATGCCTTTCGGGACCCCTGATTGGTAATAAAATATCTGTTATTTTGTGCACGTACTTTTGATTGATTAATAAAATATCCTCAGATTTTGTTCACGTATTTTTGATTGGTAAAAATATGCATTTTGTACATGTATTTCATTGATTGGTAAAAAAAAAAACTTGTAATAAACATATGGAGATAACGAACAGTATTCAATCTCAGAACTCCATAAAACAATACAGAATAGGAGCAGAGCAAATACGGGCCTCCGAAACATCAGAGGTGGGATTACGTGCCACGGAGGAGTGAGCATACACTGCTGACCGGTCACGTGTGTTCCGTGTGATGATCAGGAAATAACGGAAAAGTCTGTAGTCAATTCAGTGTACATAAATAATTTGCAAACAAATAGTATGAAAAACGTCAGTCAGCATTTGACTCAATGATAAAGTTTAATTGCTGACAAGGTCATTGTTTCGACCATAGAACTTAAGAAAGGATGACTTTAAACAAGACTGCTGTTATTCTTGTTTCATCAACTTTTTTGTCAATAATTTACTTCTTAGAAATTGTTCATACTAAGAGCATGTTTTTGTGTTTTGAATCAACTGAGATATATAAACTATTGGAATTCTCATGGGTACCAATTTCGCTCCGTTATTGGCAGACCATTTTTGTATTCATATATGAAGCAGAGTTTGTGCAAAATTGTATACATGAAAAGAAGAAAACACTTGCTGTGGTCTTCAACTCGACATTTAGATATTTAGGCGACGTATGTCAATTAACAACAACAGAGATTATAATTATCTCGCCAAAATGAGATGTCGCTAAAATTCCGTAATCTACAGTAATTAAATATCTAAAATATAACTTGAATCAAACATTTTATTTAAAAAAATCGCACTCATTGATAAAACATGTAGTGTCTATGGGCAGACTTCTTTGGAATGCAACGTAGAGGTTGTATTTAAAAGAATACGTTTTTTTTCTGTTCTGAAATATACTTTTTAATTCACTGTAAACTGGTGTATTAACTTTACTTCAGGGTAACATTTACAAGCGATGGACCCCCGTACCAGTGCCCAGGATGTGATGCGATGTGACCTGTGTGAGACCGCTGTGGTACAGATGCACTGTGATACATGTCTTGTCAACCTGTGTAAGGCCTGCGTGGGAGAACACATGATATCTGATCAAACAAAAAAACATGAAGTTGTCACATTTCGGTCTAGGAAATCTACCCTCCTTTACCCTCGATGTAAAGTTCATGCAGATAACAGTTGTGAGTTTCATTGCAAGGAATGCGACATTCCAATTTGCTCCTCTTGTATTGCCTCCAAAAACCACAAAGAGCATGACCTCCACTTGCTGAAGGACATCCTTGCCAAGAAGAAAGCAGAAATTCGAAAAAAGAAATTCATGAATTAGAGGAATCCATCTATCCAACCTACCAGGACATTGCCTCTGATGTACAAAACAGAATGAGTCGGTTAGAAAAGGAATATGGAGATCTCTCAATAGCCATAACAAAACATGAAGAGGACTGGCACAAAGAAGTTGACAAACTTGTCAAGAAACTTAAAGCTGAAGTTGATGAGATGAAAAACAAAGACAATGAAACTCTAAAGGCACATTTATCAACTGTACACACCTGCACCTCTAAGATAAATGATGATATTAATTCTCTGCACAAATTATTAGATTCTACAAACATTTCTAAAGTGTTAAAGTTCCAATTAGACGAAAAGAAATATAGAATGCTTCCGTCTATTTTTTTTTAATTACAATATATATGGCACAATTTTCACCATTCTCTGTACAGGAAGGGATCTCAGAAGTGTTTGGAAAAATAATTCCAACAACTGTATCAACCGATAACCATGGTTACAGCATAGAAATAGAACAGGAATTGCTAGGAGCTGAATTGTCTTCTTTTCAAAATATGAAAAAAGAAGCTGGATCCTCTCCTCCAGTCAACCAGTTGCTTGATAAACCAGAGACTGTCACCAACATAGACACTGGGTATAAATACCTTATCAATGTGGCCTGTCTGAGTGATGAAGAAATCTGGACAAGTGGAGATGACAACACCATGAAACTCTACAGCATCAATCAGGGATCACTACTCAAGTCAATCACAAGCAAGTCAGGGAACAAAACCACAGGACATAGCAGTGACAAAATGTGGAGATCTAGTTTATACTGATTACAGTGATAGAAGTGTGAACATTGTGAAGAATGAGAAGATAGAGGAGGTGATCAGACTACAGAACTGGAAACCTTGGAGTGTCTGTAGTACCTCCTCTGGTGACCTCCTGGTTATCGTGGTCAGTGATGATTACCCAAACCAAACAAAAGTTGTCCGTTACTCTGGCTCCACAGAGAAACAAACCATTCAGTTTGATGATAAAGGTAAACCTCTCTATTCATTTGGTAATTATGACAGATACATAACAGAGAACAGGAATCTGGATATCTGTGTGTCTGTCTGTGGAGCTAGAGCAGTAGTGGTGGTCAATCATGCCGGGAAACTGAGATTCAGGTACACTGGATATACTCCTGTTCCAAAGAATGAACCATTCAGTCCACTAGGAATCACCACAGACAGTCAGAGTCACATCCTTACAGCTGATTTTAACAATGAGTGTGTCCACATCATAGACCAGGATGGACAGTTCCTCCGTTATATAGACTGTGGACTGAGTGTTCCCTGTGGACTGTGTATAGATACATATGACAATCTGTTTGTTGCTCAGTATGGAAATAGACAAGTGAAGAAAATTAAATATCAAAAGTGATCTCAATTAAAGCTGACTACAAATATGAAGGATACATTTGAGTAAACAAATAAATATTTATGTGTATTATTGCTCTTTCAATTTGTCAATTAAACCTATTTTGTGGTTCACATATAAAAAGAAGAAGAGTGAATTCATACAAAAACAGAAACCTGATTAAGGAATCTTTTTCTTCGGAATTTGAGATTGACAAAAATATTTGTAATGTACGTTCAACAAATAATTCCACTGTAATGTAGTTTAATGTTAATCTTTTTTTCTGCACTGTGGCAACGCACTTTGAAAAAATTACGCACTTTGAAAAAATTTTTCAAAGTGCGTTAAATTTGGGACCAACTCACGCACTTTGCAAAGTGCGTTAAATTTTGGACCAACTCAACGCACTTTGAAAAAATTTTTCAAAGTGCGTTAAGAGTCTACATCAATATATTTTACCATGGACACACTTAACGCACTTTGAAAAAAAAAATCATTTTTTAGTCATGGAAAGATTGTATTTGTTATTTATCTTTCAAAAAACTAAGCCTAACCCTAACCTCAAAAATGAAATGATTTACTCCCGTCGAAAAGAGGAAAAGACGGGTATAAGATCCCTCAGTCCAAATCTTTATCTTTCCATTACATAGGTGTCGGTAACAAACAGGGGAGGGGAGCAATAAACCTAAAAAGGGTACGCTGCATTTTCAATGTTTATACGATGTATATATCTTTCCAAAATAAGTGGGGGGTTTGGCCCCCCATTCCCTCCCCTGGCCCTTCGCCCAGTCTATGCTATATTAAAAACATTCATATAATTATGTATTTACCTAACTGGTATGACGTTGAAAACTTTCAATAATAAATGAGTTAATTAAAACAGATGAAAACTAGAAATTTTAAAGTATAGTAAAACGTATGAGAGAGAAAGAATTTTCATAGATTTGAACAATCAAATTGGCCCCTTTTTATTATGATAAATGCTAAGTTGCTTGAAGTTGTCCTCTGTTAGTGCTCCCTATACACCTTTACATCTACTTATCAAGGACTACAATTAAAAAAAGGGGGAAAGGAATTAATGAACTTAAACAATCGTCACTCTTTTTTTCAAGACCCTTTAATTTTCCCTTTTATTCTATCAAAACCTTTAATATTTAAAACGTCAATATCTCAGGTCCTACAGTGACTTTATCATAAAAAAGGTTATCAAACCAGAATCTGTTATTTATCATACCGATTATTTGAAGGAATATTGATCAATCTTTACATTTTTTTCAAAGTGCGTTAATATGGTCGATATTAACGCACTTTGAAAAAAAATATTTTTTTCAAAGTGCGTTAGCTTGGTCCCAAATTTTAACGCACTTTGAAAATTTTTTTCAAAGTGCGTAATTTTTCAAAGTGCGTTGTAACACTGCACATTATTATGTTCCCCAAACGAAGTTGGGGAACATATTGTTTTTACTCTGTTTCTTATTATTATTATGTTCCCCAAACGGAGTTTGGGAACATATTGTTTTTACTCTGTTTCTTATTAAGGTCTTCCGACTTCCTTCGGAAGACCTTATTGTTTTCCGTCGGTTTCCTATTATTATTATTATTTTTTTTTCATTTTTATGGCTATATCTCAGCTGTGACTGTACAGATTTCAAAGATTTTTACAGGAAAGATGCACCAGGTTAATATCTCCAGACGTGTTTTTCATTTTTTCAAAATTTTCTTCCGTTCGCGATTTTTGGGGAAATTTGTATTTTTTAAATGGATTTTTGTACACTACTTTTCTTGAAAACGGCTAAAGATATGACATTGAAACTTATGGACATGAAAGAACATCACATGCAGATGTGCCGAACGTCCTTCATTTTTTGTCGTTCCTACTTCCGATCGCAAAAGGAAGTGAATTCAAAAAGTCCAATTTTTCAACTTTTTTGTTTTTCAATATTTTTCTTTCGGATTTACAGGGTTTATAGAGCGTCTTCAAAGATATCTATATATGTTTTCATTTTCTTCATGCGTGTGTTTATTGCAAAGATATGACCGAACCAAACTTTGTCTTACTGTCGGAGGTTCGAATCCCGCTTGGGGCGTTCCCCAATTTTTTTCTTTCTTTT